ATCCACTTGGCTTCCTTCACGATACCCAAATCATGATATCTCACAAATTCCATTGCTAAGAATCGAGCATACAAAATAGGTTAACAACAATAATGTTAGGTGAACTCTATTACTAAACATTCACAATCTAACTGAAAATGTAGACTAACACTAAGCAAAGTCAGCTATGTTTTTATACATTCTTCAGAATCATACAAAAACAATTAGTTCCAAAGGGTTGCCAATCATTTAGAACCAGAAACAAAAATACAACAATAAGTTGTCCATTCAAAACATACAACCTCCCCTAGGCACTGATTTAGTTCATAATCGAAAAAAGAAAAAAAAATGAGAAGAAGAGAGTTGCAACCAATTATGAACAATAAAGACACTGCTAGCTCCAACATCGAAAAATGAGTATTTTCTCTCGGGTCCTTGTCTGAACATTCCCCTTGGGACTGGCTTTGTGGCTGTTGGTATGAATTTGCCTATTAAAGCGTCCCCCGATTTTAGGGGAACAGATATTAAGTATACATATGTAGGGTAAAATTCTGCGAAAGTCGTTCCCTAGCATCAGGTACTTCAGAAACGGACGTCCTAGCATTTAGAAGTCCTAGCATTTTTCTCTGCCAAATCGCATTGCTCCTAATGCTTCCAGATTATGCACACTCAACAAAAACAAAAAAAACAAAAAAAAAAGTAGTTGAAATACGCTTTAATTTATCAACATTCAGAAAAACAAGGATTTCATATACTATTTTACTAATTTTCACATCGTTCTTCGTTTTAAATGACTTTTATGACTAGGACTCTCCCATTTGCTCTCAATTTAGTCAATAATTCTGCCAAAATAACTCTCTTTTGTAGAGTTATTACCGACCAACTCTTATCACTTTACAATATAAAGAAACTTTCGGAAAACCTTGGTCAATTTTACTTAATCGTTGGGGAGGAGTATGAGAAATTTGGTTAAGGGTCCATCTTCCATTAAGGATTGGTACGGACATGGTTTTGTTGGGAAAAACGAATAGATAAATCGATCTTCCTGCAAGTTCTTCAAACATGAACTATTTTATTTTCCTCTTCTACAGACTAAAAGCAGATAAGTAAGTAACAATAACAAAGGAATAAGAGATACGGATAAAAAAACTTAACACCACAAAGATTATACTTGTTTGCCCCTATCTTGGGACTACGTCAAATCTTCTACGAAAAAACATGTTCAACTATAGTTGGGAATATTACAATGGAGATCTCACTCAAGATATTACTATCTTCCTTCTAAGTGCCCTAACAATGGCTATATACGATTACACAATTGGAAATACCCTCACTAAACCCACGAGATATAAACTCCTTTTTCACAAACCCACAAGATACAAACTCCTTTTTCACACACTGTCCACAACCACTCTCTTATTTGGATTATGTACAAATGAAACCTTAATAAAAGGGTTCTATTTATAAGAGGTCAAATATTCCAATCCTTATAGGAAAACAATATTGTAATCGTAAGACAATAATATCCTACTCCTTGTAGGAATTGGTAATAGTGTTGAAAAATCTTTTTCCTCTTAGGACACGGGTCATCTGTTTTGGCTCCATTATCCCAACAGGTTTTATGTCTATGGAGACTTGATTGCTCAATATTTGGGTGGGGAGAGCTGAGCTGTCATGTTCCCTATAGTTTCAGTAACTTAGCTTGCAGTTTTCTGTGTTTGCTTCTAACAATTGAATTTATTTTGCAGTTCCTCCGAAGTCAATACATAGGTGCAATGAGCTCACACTCGAGTACCTTTAGCATACACATTTCTTGCTATAACTTTTCATAATTAATATATATCTATTATATACATCTTTTTGCATTCAACCATTTTAAAAAATCAATTTTGAAAATTTAAGTTTGTGAATTCTAAACTTTCAAAGAAATACATAGCGATTATTTGTAGTCTAGGGAAGCACGGACGCTCTATTTGACAAAGTTTCCATGGCAGACACGTATACATTTGTACATGCTTCGTATACATCCATATAGCAAAAATGAATTATTCTTTTTTTTTTTAATTTCAAACATGCCAGGACACGTGAGTATGTTGACCTGGAAAAATTAATGAGGAAATTGTTCCAACCCTGATGTTTCTATAAGATTTCGACTACTCTCAAAGTTCAGGCGAATATACCAACCTAAGCATGAAACTTACACAAATAAAAGAAGAGCCTTAGATGCTCAAGTCATTTTACAATCTAACCTATCGCTCTTAAGATTAGAAATCACGAATCTGCATATGAGTGGGTCTCTGTATTTATAAGTAGAAGTTAGTAGACCTTACTTACCCGTTGGTTAATACTATGTGTAATTCACGGTGTAATTCATGAAACAATGGTTAAAGGGTGGTTGGGTGTATCTGAAAGGATCGAATGCCCCATGGAAGCACGTGTGAATGTGGTTGTTTCAATTTAATCTATAATTGAATGTTAAACAATTGTACAGAGAAAAAAAAAACTTACACTTGAAGACCGTCTTTTAGCAAGGCTTCCTTCTCCCACGAATTAATTGACACCACCACAAAAATATCCTACTATTCTCTGGATATTTACAACTCGGTTTGTGGAAACGTTGTTAAAATTGAGAGGGAAATCGAGAGATTGAGGGAGAGATTTTGTTTTTTTAGAGTTTAAAAACTCATTCAACCCAACAAAAAAAACCAAAAAAACCAAAAGGAACCCTCCTTTTTAAATGGAATGGATGATAAAGGGTAAGTTACCATCGGAAGTTAGAGCCCTCCTTCCCCACTCATCACATCATCACTTTCGTGTGAAGTTTAGGTCAAAGATAACATAAGTTTTAATGTAAAGTTTTAAATAAATTAAATTGTAAAAGTAAATTTTGTTTTAAAAAGAATTTGATTTTTTTTATTATTACTATTATCATTATTATATTTCTTTTAGTTGTGTTGATGCAAAAATTTGGCCTCTTAGGATCTCGCCAAATTCGCACCAATCTTCTAGAACAAAGGGATCAATAGACCTGCGAAACAGAATAACACTAAGACCGGTGTGGTCTTTGCCACACAAGCTCCAATGCTTAAGTTAGTATCAGAGTAGTCGGGTATAGAGAGTACGGTTTTTAGGTATACCTCTAAGGTTTAGCTTACCCTCGTATTTATAGAGGTCGAATCCTAATCCCTTCATGATTTACATAAGTTGAACCCTAATCCCTTTAGGGTTTACATCAGCCTAATCCTATTCCCTTTGGGATTTATGTAAGTTGAATACTTATGCACTCAGAAGATCTTAAACGGAGTGGACTTCATGTTGCATTCAGGGCCGAGGCCAAGTCGACTCGAACTGGGCTTGCATGGGGGGTCGGTGCGCATTGGAGAGGTTCTCGGCCACTGGGCCGAGGTTTGGTCGGCGTCGACCCTGAGTCGGCTATGGTCGGCCCGGACTGCTGGACCCTGACCCACTTACCTCTCTTCGAGTCCGCTCCTTCTTCGGCTCTCTTTCCTCTTTTCGGTTGTTTAGTATGATCTCTATTTTCTCCCTATAACAATGGCCCCCAATCTCAAAATAGAAGGCATAGGTGTGTTGGAGCTTCTATATTGAGAGTATTTGTCGCTATTAGTTGTCGTCTCTATGAGCTGGTTGTCATAGCCCCATCTTCTTTGTTGTAGTTGGCTACCATCAAGTCTTTTAGTATTAAGAGTACTTTGTCGCTGTTAGTTGTCGTTTTTTATGGACTGACTTTCCTAGCCTCATTCTCATTCTTTGTAGTTGACTACAATCAAGTCTCTTGGGCTCTGCTATACGGTTAGTTTTAACCGTTAGATTTTGGCCTTGGGATCTAACTTTCAGCAGGGTCAGTGGTACTTCCTTTCGGTTTCTAACCTATTTTGACTTTTGCCCATGTTTTATACCTCAGGATTTACTCTTGAGTTTCTAACCCGTTTGGGTTTTGTCAATGGTTTCTATACACTGAGTTTAGTCGGCACCCTTGGGTTTCTAACATATTTGGTTTCTGGTGGTTTTTTACCCAAAGTTCAATCAACACCCTCAGGTTTCTAACCTATTTTGGCTTTTTCCACATGTTTTTCTACATGTGGGTTTCATTAATTAGTTAGGCTTGCCTACTTTTTGTTTTAACTTTGTTGGGCCTGTACACATGCCTTTTTCAGCACCTTCAGATTCTCTTCCCTGGTTTCACTGACTGGCTGCTCACTAATCGGCTTTCTCCTAGGTCTATCCCAGTTCGAGTTCCTTGATCAGCTGTTAATTCACTCACCCACGCCCCCACTCGAGGGTTTTATATTTAGAATAAAGATAAGCGCTCAAGTAGCAGTCAATCAATAAAAAGTACCTTACTAACCGTTACCGAGCTAAATAGCTCGACCTATGACAGTTTGTTTACTTTTATGAAGAACGCCAATCTATATAGCTCGTTCTACCTCATAATGCTTCGCAAAGCATTCAATCCAAGCTATGAAGCGAAACAAGTTAACCATATAACAAAGTCTATAATGGTTGTAATAAAATGGTTTTTCTCTCGCCTTATATAAATACACACTCACTACCACACATAAGTATTTGATTTTGTCTGGAACCAACATACTTAGCTCGGTCTTTAGACTGACTTGAGCATCAAAGTGTTTGTTTCTTCTGTGCATGTCCTCTTGCATAGCTTGGAAAGGAGAAGCTATGCCGCGAATCTCGAATCATTCAGAATCAAGTACCAACATATAGTATATTGTGATACTTTTCTTTGATCCATATACATTATGGAAAGATAGAGTAAGATTTGCTACCAAAGTTTTAGATAAAATATTTATGCAACAGGGTCTCGTTTATGTAAAACCATTTCATATGTTGATGAATGATTTAAACACAATAGAAATTAATGTCTGGCTCAAAAATATGATTAAACGAGAAGAAAAACTTCATAATAGTATATTGAATGGTAAAGAACAAAACTTAGCTTCAAATTATTGAATCACAAATTTGAATAACTCAAACACTTTTTCATATTTGAACAAAAATCACTTATTCCTACATCTTATTTATATGGTATATTTCTTGTCTTAACAGTTGTTCAATTAAAATCTCATCAAAGGAGACCTCTTTCCTATGGGTCCTTCGAACAATAAATTCTTTAGCGACATGCTGCATTGTAGGTCGAGCTTTTGGATTTGGGTGGAGACATGCAAGAGCCAACGTTAATACGAGCACTACGCTTTGTGCAACTCCAGGTTTGATTAAAGGAGATTTGAGACGGGAGTCCAACAAATCCTTGACTGCTACATGAGAAGTAGAATTAGACCACAAGTCATTTAACAATTCTCCAGGGTGCTTCCCCATTATTGTTTCTAGCGCCACCACTCCAAAGCTGTAGACATCACATTTTTCCGTAACAACCATGGTATACGCTAATTCTGTATTGGAAAAGCAAAAAAAAAAAAAATACATGGATTAAGATACAGAAAAATAAACTATATATATTTCATAATTTGAAAAGTATAACATGCTTACCTGGAGCAATATACCCATAAGTTCCACCAACAATGGTATGATAAGATGAATCCAAACCGAGCAATCTTGCAATACCAAAATCTGATAGAAACGCCTCTTGCTTTGAATCCAAAAGTATATTACTGGTTGTAACATCTCGATGAATGATAGGCATAGTACAATCATGATGTATATGGGACAAAGCATTCGCTATTCCACTAATTATGCTTACCCTCTTATCCCAATCCAATTCCACTGCTTCAATATCATTACTCAGCACCCAAAATAGGCTTCCCCTCTCCATGTACTCGTAAATCAGAAACATGCAGCGTTTATGGAGGCAATAACCATGGAGTTTAATTATGTTCTTGTGTCTCACCCCTTTCAACATCTCCACCTCGTTTTGGAAACTCTTCAAAAGAATGCTCTGCTCCGCCTCGTAAGTGTGAAGTTTCTTCAAAGCCACGACTCTCCCGGTCGGAAGTTTGGCTTTGTAAACGCTTCCGTATCCGCCGGTGCCGATGCAGTATTTGATGTCGAAATCCTCCGTTGCTTCTACGATGTCTTCGTATGCAATCTTTCCGTCGTAATCCCATATCGAGAACACGTTTCCGTGCTTATCGGACTTCATCGAATGAGCGGAAGCGGGACTCGACCGGGCAAGAGTGAGGCAAAAAAGAAAGAGAACAACGAACACAAGAATTGGGAGAACGAGCAGAATCATCAGTGTTTTGGGAGTTTTATGGGAAAGACAAGAGTGGAGCTGTGGATCATTACCACATAGTTTTTGGTTACCCAAAACGACACTGACATTAAAACGACCAAGAAATCTGTCGGAAACCGGACCTTGAAGCAAGTTAAAGGATATGTTGATGTTTCGGAGGCGAATAAGGTCATCAGAAACCGTACCTGTGAGCTTATTGTAGCTGAGATCGATGCTTGTAGGATTAATAATCTTATCTTTCTCCTCTAACAAATGGGGAACTTCACCATCAATGGAATTATGGCTGAAGTCGAACACCAACTTTGTACTCCAATCACGTGATGGAGGCAATCTCCAGTTGATGATGGAGTAATTTTTGTAAAGTATGTTCACGAAGCTCTCAGGGATTGGGCCAGTAATCCTGTTACTGCTGACATTCAAATTCAGCAAATTCTGTGAGTCTCCAATTTGTTGGGGGATGGGCCCGGTGAACATGTTTGAAGCAAGATTTATGTCGGTTAAATTGGTGAGATGGAAAATGGATGAAGGAATTGGGCCAGTGAGTGAATTATCTTGTATGGAAATATATTTCAAACTCTTTAAATTCCCTATTTGGGGAGGAATTGAACCACTGAAGTTGTTGCTTGAAAGATACAACTCTCCCAACTGAGGCAAAGACCACAGGCTCGAAGGAAGGGAGCCATTAAGCTTGTTATCATCTAACCGAAGCTTTGTTAGATGAGTTAAATATTTTATTGTTGATGGGATTGGAGCAATGAGTAGATTTTTACTGAGAGACAGAGTACTCAGATTCTTCAAATTCCCTATTTGAAGGGGAATGATTCCACCTATTTGGTTTACAGAAATGTTTAGATATGTTAGATGGGACAATTGACCTATAGTTGAAGGGATTGTGCCATTGAGCATATTTTCTACCAGATTAAGCAGCCTCAAATTGGTCAAATTCCCTATTTCTGAAGGAATCTCACCCGTGAGGTTGTTGCAAGATAAGTCTAGATAGTTGAGTTTTGAGAGATGGGCTATTTCGGGAGGGATGGTACCTTGGAGACCGGAATTGAAGACACAAAAATGAACCAAGTTTGGTAAAGATGAGAAGCTCAAGGTTTGTAGAGTAGATCCTGTTGGCAATGGCCAATTCACCTCAATACTTGTGACGCTTCCCGAGGCAACGTCACAAGTTATGCCGTTCCATTTACAACAGGGGCGCGAGATGTTTTGACCTCTGGCGCTCCACCAAGGACTGATTTTGAGTAGAGCCTGGGTTTCTCGTTGAGCTGGAGACAATTTTGATGCAACCACGAGGATAGAGTTGGAAGATAAATTGGAAAAAAAGAAGGAAGAAATTAGGAGTAGAAAGAGAAAGCAGGCATGAGTGAAGTTTTGCATCATATACTTTGCTTGGAATTGAGAGAAGATAATGGGGAGAGAGGGAAGAAAGATATGAGAGAGTTATAATTGTTTGCTTGGACAAGATGCTAATATATACTCCTTTTCGTTGGGAATGGAATTTGGTAAGTGGCACAAAAGATTTTATTATTATAACAAATATAGGAATGGGATAGGACTCCCGACTCCAAAGATGCTTTGAAGTATTATTCCTAGAAATAGTTTGGTAGATTCTTTAAAGCAAGTGAAGCGGCATAGGACCTAAAATTTTTAAAGCATTATTCCTAAAAATAACTCGGTGGATGTTATATATTTGGAATTAGTTTTGTAGAAAATATATATATATATATATAAAGTCCGTTGTTGTAATGGTTATTTTTCGTTTATCCCTAGTCCTAAACGCTTATCCTTTATTGAGTCTATATTCGTTGTTGATATATCTACAAATTAGCGCAATCTTCGGTTGAATCTTCAATGCATTTTCCAATATTTTTCTTTTTTCCCCTTTTTTGACTACCATTTTCCAACTTTTTTATAGTGAAAATGACATTTTCATGAATAGTCAATTTATGTGTGATCTTGTATTAACTTTAATGGTCTTTGAATTGGTTGGGCATTTAGTTGATGTTAAGCATTATTGAGAATTGAAATAAAATGACATATATATTGTTTATTTGATGTTTTTTACCAAAATTCTTTTAGTAAAGTGAAAAATAGTTGTATACTAAAATATTAAAAGAAAGATTTAAAAACATATATTCATTTCTATAATACTAGTTTCTTGTTTTATAGCTAATTATAAATACATTAATCAAAAAGTGTGCTAATAATATTTTTAAATAATAAATTTTAATTTATTTTATTACTATTTCATTGATGAGATTTTATGAGATAAATAAAATTCTCTCTCTTTTGGGGAGTGATTTTAAGTTTGAGGTGGACGTTTTAGAATTGATTATTCAACTTCTACATTTTGTAAAAGAAAGATTTAAAAATATTATAAATAGTTAATTTATAGTTATGATGAAACTTTTAGTCTTGACCTTGGTTTTCTAATGAGTTTGGAATTACACTGAGTGTCTCATTTATTATCTATTGAAAATTATGCAAGAGTTCTACCCCTTTTCCACAAAGCCATCCAAAAACTAAAAGAAAAAACTTTTTTTAAGAGAAAAGTATACCTTCTTATGTAATCCATGTATATATCCTATTATTTTAGGGTCCATTTGATAATCATTTATGTTTTTGGTTTCTTGTTTTTAGTTTTTAGTTTTCTATTTTTAAAAAACAAAAACCATATGTTTGATAAGTATTTTTTGTTTTTTGTTTTTGAAGAACCGAAAACCAAACATGTTTGGTAACCATTTTTAGTTTTCTATTTTTAAAAGGTTAGAAATTTGAAAATAAGAGATAACATTCTATGTAGAGTAGTGATGACAACGATATGGATGAGAGGGAGGATGATATACTCCATTCTCGTGCCCGTAAAAATTTTTAATCCTCTTATCTACCTTGTTCTTCGGTCAGCTGAGGGATGTTTTCGAGAAAAATTATTGGTTTTATAATTGCTTTTAATTATTTTTAGAATTTAAAAAATTAAAAAACGTAATAAATATATATTAATTATTAAAAAAATGGAAGGTATGGACATGTATTTTCTCTTTTTGGGCTTGACTATGCAGAAAAGAAAAATTATAGTGGAAAAATGATACGACCCGCCCCAAAATACCTACTAATTTTAGAACAAGTCGCGCCGACCATAGACCTCAACCCACTACAGAGTCTATAGTCAACTTCTTTCTGAATTTCTAAAACTAATTAAGATTATTCTCTAATATATAAAACATAAAGCGTAACATAATTCAATTCAGAAATAACTATTCTCCCATGACTTCTAAACATGTTGTACAACACAAAAGATGCATCTAATCTATTAGAGTTCATTCTAAATGTACATACAAAATGATATGCAAGTTTTGACACGATGAGTGGTAGAAACTGGTTATCTATCTCTTTGAAACTCAAGTGCAGTCTGGTGGAGAAAAATAATGATAAACACTGAGCTAGGAAGCTCAGTGAGTGGCGATTTAATAAGAAAATAGTTTCGTAAAACTTCTTTCATAACAATTGAAATTTCAACTCTTAAAACAAACTTCATAAAACTGAAGTAACAACCATTCTCATTTAGATTTCATAATACTTGAGCAACTAAAACTCAGTAAATTTTCTTAACATAACTTGTAACAACATGTATTTTCTAAAAACATATCAAAAACCTTCTTTCAAACTTAAAACAGGTTAAGAAAATTCAACACCATGACTGGTGGTTATGCTGAACGCACGCACTAAGCGTGGTAACAATTATATAGATGCAAGCGCACACCTGTCAGAGTAATATAAAATGGATGGAGTATCCAAGTATCGATCCTCAAGGACTTCTAAATAATTTCCAAACTCTAAAGTTTTAA